CTTGTAACACTTGGAGGTGGTGTTCATGTATTTTCCTGTTGATGGTTGGAGCATGGAGGAATGTACCTATGAGACGTTCTTATAATAGCGGAAAAACAGGCTGAACAGGCTGTAATATGTTGAGGAAAGGGTTCAAAAACAGTCACCCCTCTCCCTCATAAGTGTTAGTTGAGAAGTTGAATAGCTAACATGTCTGTACTATGAGTAGTGGGGGGGGGGATTGGGGCCTTTATTAGACCTGAAATAGTGATACAGTTTTATGGAATTGTTCTATATTTTGTATCACCTGTAAATTGCAGGTGGATGGAGTCTAAGGAAAATCTCACCAAGGGGACAATAAAAGTAATTTTTTCTCTATATCAGGTTTGGCTGGCTGTGGCTGTGGTGGAGGGGCCCAACGTAAACTCCTTTCATGGGGCCCAGAAATCCTGGAGACGCCCCTGTTTACTTAAAATAAGCAGCTAGCAACAGCAGCCACTTAGCCTATAGCTTAGCAGAGAGGTGGTGATGGTGGCTTTGAGGTATAAAAGTCAGCCAAACAACACCTCTAACATGTTGGATCCTGTTTTGTTGTAACTTCCTGGAATCACGGTGCTGCAGTGAGGTTGCCTCGCAACCAGCCGAGAAGATGTGACTGAGCCCAGCCAACGTGTCACTTTTTAATGTTGGCGATAAGCTTTTGTTACCTTTGGATGGAGCCTGGTTAACTTTTCCTTCCTGTTTCTAGTCTCGCTGCTAAGATAAGCTAAGATAACATGCTTGTTTTTGAAGCTGTAGCATGGGGGACATGAAAGTGGTATTCAGCTTTTAAATTAGTGTTTTAAAAGGGAAAAAAAGAGAAACCTTCCAAAATGCAAACTCCTCCTTTAAGAAAATGAGCTCTAGAGTTTTCAGCATGTTTTCTCCAGAGACAGACGGATCCTCACAGGGGATTTTATTTTTTCAGATATACTGTTGCTGCCTACATCTCTATATTTTCCAAAACACAATGTTCAGGGATCCTGAATGACCTTGAAACTGAGATGTCACCCAACAGACGCACACATGTCCCTGTAAAAGTTTGTGAGAGGGAACGGAAGACAAACAGGCGCAGGTCAATTTACAGTCAGTGTCTTTTTATTTGCTGCAGTGGGACCCAGAAGTTATACAGAGAGAAAAAAAAAAGGGGGAGCTTTCTCAATGATGCATATTGAGAGATTTTGTAGCTGCAGAGCTTTACTGCTCATTGCAAGACAGACAGAGGAGGTTCCGTGGTAAATTTGTAGTCCACACAGGTGTCAGGTGCTGCGTGATTTGGAGACATTGTGAAAGAGAGATTGAAACGCTTCACTTGTCAGGCAGAAAATCATATCTTACAGGTTCATTATTTTGGTTTCCACTGCAAAAGTCCCACACATTAGATAACAGTAAATGTTTTCTGTAGAAAAAAAAAACAAAACATCATGCATCAAACTGTGGAACGAATGTGGCAGTGTGTCTGTAAGTCTTTGCATTACAAGCACAAAAAGTGTTACTGTTTTACACTATATGCTTGAAAATACTGGGAATTGCTTGAATGAATCAACATGAATCTTCGTCTGGCATCCAAAGGCGCTTTGATCTTCAGAGAGGTGGCATTACAAACAGCCATAAAGCAGCTGTTTCCTCTCTTCTGTGCTGATTAATTTGCTCATCCCTCCCTCACAAACACAATATGTCTTCACTTCACGCTATTTATTCTCATTTCACTGGTGTCAACCTTTAAATTGCTGTTCACGGGCTGCTGAGCATAAATAAGTAAAAACAGTGTGAAAAGGTAAGGCAGAGATGTTTAACCTCCTGCTATGAAGAGAAAATGTGTCATATCCCACCTAAAAGGAGTGCGTTAAACTACACTCAGTGTGTTCTAGTTATAATTAACAATTTTGTTTTGGAGAAGTTAACAAAAACAGAGAGCATTCTGTGTCTGGCTCAAAAAATGGCTGCTCGACTGCACCATAGATGGGAACAGAGTATAACATTTTTTGATGCATAATTTCATAAAGCTACTGATACAGGCTGAAGGGGGTTTCTGGGTCTCACTAATAGTCTGTGACATCCAAGAAAACAGCAGTTTTCAAACGCCTCGGAGAGTCCAGCCTTCTGCACAGGCTCTTCTTCCATCAGGCTTTAATTACCAAGCCTACAGTCTCTTCTTGTCCAAACTTGTTTTTCTCACACGTCGTCGTCTTTTTTTTTTTTTTTTTTTTTCTGCGTTCCTTCTTTGGGGCTCCACGGGACTCCAAGTACGACAGAGGATGCTAGGAGCAGAATGGCACTTTAATTCTACCCCCTTTCCCCCCCTACAAAACTGCTCAGCCTCCTGCAGATCGGTGCATGTATCCAGTGGCAATACACTGAGTGAGATTTGATTTTAATTATGAGTTGTTGTTTTTTTTTTTGCTTATTATTCACAACCTCGGGTGATGTTTGAAAACCCAGATGATCCTTAGACAAAAGCTTATGCATGTGAAAGAAAGCTTTAATAAAAAATGCGCCAAATAGGCTGTCACTACTCTACCCGAGTCACGTGTAATGAATAAATGGACAACCAGGCATCACCGCTGAATTCTTAATTCGTTTTTTTAGTGATGTAGTGTTGTCATTACATCTGCCGCAGCTGCTGAGTTCACTCCTTGGTGAACCCTCCAGGATCCGACTGGCTGGAAAATCTCCCTTTCAAACTCCAACGCTGTGTGAGAGAAAAAAAACTCTATAACTGGAACAAATCTACTCCTCAGACCCGATACAGCAAGAAAGTGTTGCTTTCTGTCGCACACCCACATGCACTCACACACATTGTTTATCCTGTTGAATCATAGCGCTGTCAGAGAGACAGATTTTATCCGTGACACAAAAAGAAGATGATTTTCACTTAAATTCCCCTCTCAGTCAGGTTTCATTAGTTCCATGCGACACCTTCAGAAAGATAATTTGTCTTGTAAAAAAAAGTATTGGACAAACCTGAGGGAGAAAGGGTGCAATTTCTAGCAGGAAGTACGATGTGACATCAGATATCAGTTTGCTACTGATGCACATTATTAGTCATCGACGGGTAGACACACACCCTCCTCTTCCTCTGACACACAGGATTGTTCTCCTAGATTAAAGGCGGTGCTTAACGTTTATTTTGCATGCACTTTTTGTTATATTATGTTGAAATTGTCTTCAAATCTCAGAGGCAATCAATAAATGAAATGCTCTTTAAAAATCCTGTCTGAGGCCGGGGCAGGGCTGAAATAAATTGGATTTATTTTATCTTGCTGCTCTTCCTCTTGCATTCTCTAGTTTCAGGAATATAAAGGACGTTTAGGGATTTAAACCATTGGCTGTATAAACATAAGGACGATAAAACAGCTCCCCAAAAGTGAAGCCAAAACATGTCAGAAGCCCCCTGCCGACTGGCTGCAATATAGTCCAGAAAGCCTGCCTCCTCCATGTTAACAGATGGGACAATGGACGAACAATAACATCATAACACAACTCAAATAAAATGGTCTCAAACATGGTTTCTGTATTCAAAGTTAGTTCTTATCATCCTGATTGATGTCTGAGTGTTCACTTCTTCTAGGGGGTAAAAGGTCGTGATTGACAGCTCCGTTGACATGTGAGGCTCCTGTTGCGCTGTTTGCAGAGTCATGTTTAGAGAGTCATGTTTAAAAGATGAGCAGCGTAGAGGAGAAACACTTAGAGGAAACACAATGAACACTAACACAAGGGTCATTGCTTGATGATGGCAATCAGCGTTTAGATTCCCCAACTACCTGAAAAGCATCAGAAGTGATCGATACGACCTCCATTCAAAAAACAACAAACATTTAAAAAGTTTTTTCCTTTGGAAACTTTACGTTGCAGATGTAAACGTGACACGGAAAAAGAAGTCTTGTCTGGAAGTTGTTGAACGCTAACCGCTGGCTTCACTGGAATTACTGAGAAATTGTCATCCGCTCCCAGAGGCATATATCGTCTTATCACACGATGACAGACGGGTTCCTTTATGCCTTATTGGGACTCTGACTGCACATGACTTCACCTGCTCAAGTTGGCAGCAACATTTTGGCTTCACTATCGTACAACAAGAGGTTTCCCAATGTGTTGTCCATCTTTATACAATCAATGATTCAGGCTGACTTTAGTGCAGTTCTCTGACTTTCACAAATGAAATGCATTAGCAGTCATGGAAGGCATCGTCTCCTAGAGCTGCTTTGTTGTTTAAAAAAAAAAAAAAAATGAAATCCTGTTTCTTGATTCATCTGAGCATGGATAAAGATTGAATTAATGTCATTATGTGTGCAGTAGTCTTTTGTTCTCAGACTTCTGAAAGTGATCTACACTGCTCTGTACACAAACTGACGTATCTATCATTTATGAAAACCTAATGAAATGTTTTGGTTAATAATTAATTTGTATTCTTCATGTAAGAACAGCAGGATGTGCTATGATTCTGTGAAGGCTCAGTAGCGATAAAATGAAAACCAGAGGTACAGAATATGCTGAAAAACACGACATAGAGCTTATTTCACATTGTTCCCGATCGTAGACTTTAGATTGTTGTTCCATAAAATACAAAAAAACAGGCTTCCTGATGCGTCACCGACACACAGGCATAAAGCATTGTGGAGAAGGAAGAAAGCTCCCAGTGTCCTACATTGTAGCAGGGACCATAATCCGCATGGGCAGTTTTTTTTTTCATTTCCACCTGGACATCTGCCAGTCCAGAGGATTTCTGCTCTGCTGACAACATTACACCGGCCAAATGAGAGGACGTATCCTCTCGTGTATAATCGCTACTCTGACAACAGACCGGGATATACTGAGAGGAGAAATGTCAAAATTATGAGCTTTGTTTATCTCTGTTAAAGGTTAAAGTATGGTTTTCTGATTGGGACACAAGGTTACACTCCCTCCTGACTTCATCATTAATGCAGTGCAATGATATGTTTAAGCCTTCCTCTCACATTACTGAGTTTCCGCACCTCGGCAACTTGTTCACTTTTTCTTTTATTGGGTGCAAAAGAACATTCAACCACATGGCAGAGAGGTGACTTTAAAAACAAAGATAGCAAAACACATTGGTCTTTTTCTCGAGTCCCTCGTTTGTCTGTGCTGCTAGTGAGCCGTCAGTGCTTTAAAATGTGACAAAAAAAAAAGAAACATTGTCCACAGGCAGAAGCACGTGTAGTTCTCACAAGAAGGCCATTCACTATATTAAAAAAAAACAACAAAGCATTCCTACAAGCTTTTCTTTTTGTTCATAATGTGCTGCTAATGGACAAAAATCATAAGCAGAAAAAGCAAGAAAAAGAAAAAAAAACACTTTCTACAGAAAAGACTTGTCTTGGTTTTACATTGAAACATTGACAAAGACACTCAAAAGAGGAACAATCACAAAATGTTGGCAACATTTCCAACAAGTCCTATTCATTTTTAAAACATTCTGCGCTGTCCTGTTACCTGCTGCATTCATTTTTTTTTTTCGACTCTAAATTTAACTGCATTTTTCAAAACATCGATCCAAGCTTTTTTCACCTGTGAGGAAATTTCAGTATTGAAACCAAAGCTTTTAAGTCTTTGTTGCCTCTTCAACATTGGTTCTTATGAGACTGCAGCACCATGCTTTATATTAGCACTTTACCGTCTGTCAAATAGAAAATCTTTAAAAACAAATGTCCGCCACAACATTAAGAAGTAACATAAATGAAGCTGCAAATAGCATCAAGTTTTTTCACTTAGCGGTGACAATAAATCCATTAGTTCCCATTGTTTTTTTAACAAATATATATCCATTGATTAAAACTAATCTTCTTGTTCAGTGAGAGGCAATTAAGACCGAAGTCCATCCAACATCGACATTCATAACGTCCACAGAGAGCTGCTACCATTTGGCATCCTCTCTACGTCTTAAAAATGAATCGATAATGACACAGTTAGCTTCGGCTGCTAGCCGCCGCCCTCGCTCATGATCACAGATAATTACTACCCAGATGAGGATTTAAGGATTGTCCTTGAAGGTCAGTTCCAGTCCCTGCCCTCTCAGGGCTCTGGGCTTGGGCCCACTGCTCTTGTCTATACGCCAGTACCCGGGCAGCTGTCCGACATCGCTATTAACCTGAGCAGAGCCAGCCCGTTCCATAAAGCTGTTTGGGACATGGCAGCTGCTCAAGGGGCAGAGAGGTATTAAGCGTAGATTGACAAGAATGAAAATGTCCTCTCTCTCTCTCATAATCTCTGATCTTTTTACACGCAAGATGAGCCATACGCACATGAGCACACACACACACACACACACACACACACACACACACACACACTTATGTAATGTCAGAGTGCTGCATTGGCTTGTTTGGACGCTCCACATGCACCCTGTGTAGTGACAGAAAGCATGCACCGTCACTCTCAAACTGACTTTCACTCTCACTGACCGAGCTCATGCATGTAATTTAGACATTCTGACGCGTTGGGACGTCTCAAAAATAACCCTCCACACGGGTTTGCTCTCGTCCACTTTGAACCTTTGGAGCATCCACCTCATTTGGTCGGTGCCTCATTGCTCTTTAAACATCAGCGAGCTCACAGCGTGTAGTACTCTCCCGTGTTACGCAGAGAGAGTGTTCCTCAGCACATCAAAGCTTGCTCCAGCTCACATTCACCACGGATACAGTGCAGCATTGTCAGTAGCAGATATCAAACCAAAAAGAGCTTCTCCTTTTTTTTTTTTTTTTCAAAGAGGTGACGAGATAACACAGAATGACAGGAGGTCACATCAACACAGCTGACTGATGCAACAGCATAGCTTCTTCAGATGCGCGGACTAATTTGAAGTCTCCTGCAGCGTCCTCGGGGTTCAAACTGACACATCAACATATGAGTCCAATAAACATTGAGTCTTCGAGTCTATGCAGTCAGAGCATTAGTATGTGGAAATGTTGCACTGATGCCCTTCCCTGTGGGGTTTCACTGCAGCAACAAAGTCAGAAAACACACATCTCTTACATCAGATCCTTTAGGAGTCAAAAGCACGATCCTCACAGATCTCCAGCGCAGCTTTACTCGCACCGCCGAACACTTCCACATTAGCGTCAATCCAGGGAACCACGTTGCCCGGCATGTACGCGGAGCAGTTGGCCAGACCCACGATGTCCACGGGCCGCAGCACCCGGTCCCACATGTTGAACTGGCTCAGCTCGCCCACGAAGGCCTGGGTGGCATCAAAACGACCGCCGACTATGTCCTGCAGAGAGAGACAGAAAAGGACAGTTTGTAAATTTAAGCTCATGTGAGATTTTAGCTGGTTTTGAAACACATGAATACTGACACCTTTGATATAAGGTACAAAAAGCAAACGTCGCAGTAGTTGAGCGTGCGAATCGTGGTGGTAGAAAAACAGTGCAAACAAGAGGAGAGAAACAAAGAGAAGCAGCGATTGACATTGTTCTTGCATACATTAAGTTAGGAGTTAATATTCACCCAGCAATACAAGTGCTGTTTCGCTGTCCATATGTATTTGTTTGACTTATTTATGATAGCCCACGTCTTGTATAGCTGCGTCCTCAAAACACAAAAAACATCTGACAAATCTCGGTATTTGATGTCCTGGAGATGACCGCAAAGTGAAAAATTGTACATAGCAATAGATTTGTATGCTTTGAGGTTTGCTTAAGTATAGACGCTGGGTTTCTCTACAAGACATACAAAGATGGCTGCTCACTGTAACTTAATCCATTTAGTTGGATCTTTGACCCACTGACCCGACGCTGGGTACAGTTCAGGAAACCTGAATTAACTACAAGCTACCGCAAGCTAACTTTCTGCCACCAGTTTGGCTCCTCCCACAAACATCATGTCATCACAGTGTACAGTACAAACACAAACATGGTCTAATAGTGAGCCAGTTTCCGGTTGAGCAGGACCCATCTCCACTGCCCTGGACCCAAAAACTGAAGACTTGAACTCAAAATATGGATCTGGATTCTGTTGATTTAAAATGAATAATATTTCTTGTGTATAAAAAAGGGACTCTCAGCTGCAGCCTCCTGAGCAAAGTTTAACTCTGTAGCTTTTCCTAAAATGAGCTAACCTGGCTGTTATTACTTTTATTTCACTGAACATTTCAGTGAGACAAGATGAAGAGGATGCACAAATCTGTTTGAGTTTTCTGTCACGCACTGTTGGAGTCATTTCAACACTGCCGTTTCCCAAACTGTGTTCTGTTTACTGTTTACTTCATGTGCCATCTTCAGTATTTCACATTTCTTTGTCCTAGCCTACACTTTTTGAGTCTTAAAATCTCTCCTTCACTTTTTTCTTTTCTTCTTCCCTCACAGTCTACAGACAGACATCTAATTTACCGGATTTCTTTCTGCAGAGTCACATGATTACAGGAACTCCTTTCAGATCTAAACAAAGTGAGAGACCCCACACAGGATGACACATAAAGACAGACATATGGGGGTTTTGTTCCAGTAGCGTTTGAAGAGCAATGATTCGACCAAAACAGCACAACACACTCTGAACAGAATGCACTCACCAACAACCAGAGTCCTGAATAAAAGCTGGAAATCTCACATAATCTCACGCAGTCAAACAGGACTTTAAAGTAACCAAACCTTGTGAATTTGGTGATAATAGCTTTTGGACTAATTTAAAGAAAATGACGATGATGATGATGATGAAGTCATGGCGATAGTGTGCACATGGGCTGAGGAGGTGAGTAAGACGTGATTTTGCTACAGCTGTTGTGCTTCCTTCTTCAGTCAGGTCGCTTCCCAATTGGCTATCGTTTTGAAAATCCAGATTACTGTAAATGCTACAGGATATCTTGTTTAAAATTCACTTTTTGAAATCAATAGCACCACAACGTTCTTCCCAGCAGATAAAGGGAAGTAAAATCACTCTAAACTCACACCAAAGGAAAATCTAACAATATAATATGTATAATTAATTCCAGAATCTCCATGATTATTGTGTTGTGTACCCCACATTAGTCCTCCAGAGTCTGAGATTAGCACTGCATCCAAAGAAACAGTCGGGCTTTAGCAAAATATCACACCTTTAAATGGCGTAACTAACAAATCAGAATCAAATTTATAACCCACGTTGCAAAATATATATTTTAACGTGTGCTAAAACTGTTTAAAGGCTTTATATGTGATTTTTTGATCCAGCAGATGTCGCCCTTGAGCACCAGCATGAAACCAAAACAACTCGCGCTGCATTGTTGTGTTAGCATGCTAATGCTAGTGATCTTTATTATGCTCGTATCTTCACACTGCATGTAAATTTACCTGAAATGAGCGTGATCTAGAAACACGGTTAAACAGTGAGTACAGTATGTTATTCTTCTTTTCTCTAGTCCCTCAATTAAACAACTTTTATACGTGAGGGGAGGCGTCAGCCGGCCGTGGCGGCGATGTAAACAAACTGAAGATAGGACTCTGAAAAACAAAGCCTTTTGCCTTGTGCAAAAGTTCTATTTTAATATTCTGAATGTCTGTAACTGCTTCCAGTGGGAAGGTGTCAGACCAAACAGCCTTTGTTAAATGTTTCCACTGAAAAGATTTACAGTGAGTGATATGTTTGACTGTTAATGAGAGTAGGATGATGTTAAATATTAGGGACACATGTACAGGACAAGATCAGCAAAGGGATTCTTTGTCCACAAGGGGCAGCAAAATCAACACTAAATATCAGTTCCTCACTGAACCTTCGACTTGCAAAGGAAACCTATAATATACTTTCATTGAAATGAAGCAATTCTGTTAGATTTCCAGCAAACTGCAAAAACATTTTTGAAGCATTCTGCCACCTTAGGATATCGAAGTGATGTGCAATCTCTAATATTGTGCAACATGCTGCAATCTCACCTTGACTGAACGGCAACACATTCCTCCTTTAGTTAATGGCTCTCTGTGGAGATTCATCATTTGTCACTGTACATTTCTGACGAATATGCAATGTGCTGTCATGGAGCTAGCAGCTAGAATAACTAGCTAACACGGCTGCCGAGGCTCAGAGGTGCAGTTAAGAGGTAGATGAATGAGGTAATATTGAAAGGGACGAGATAGCGTGAGAGGAGCCTCAGTGGCTCCTCTCCCCTGCTCCCCTGCTCTGCGCCTCAGGCACTGCGCTCAAGGAAGACTACACACAGGGAGAAAAACACACACACACACACACACTCCACCACCTATGCTTCTTTTCATGCTCTCACCTGCTCCTGGCCCAGGATGATCACCCCTCCAGGTTTAATTGGGTGCCAGGGGGCCAGGTTGTCCCCGGTGCCTAGACGCTCTCCGTCCTGGTACGCCTCCCAGAAGCCGTCTCTGGTCGTCCAGGTGATGCAGATGTGATGCCAGCGCCCGTCGCTCACTGACAGAGGAAGCTGGGCCACCTGGGGAAGAAGTTTGCCAGCAAAGGGTGAGTGACATCATGTTCAGTAAGGAAGGCCAAAGAGCGAGGAGACGGGAGGAAGGGTTTGAGAATAATTGCGACACGTTAGAAACAAGGACAGCAATTAGAAGGGTTGGGGTTTCAAAGAGACAGCCCTGTGCAGAGAATTCTCCAGATACAACATATAAAAATGTAGATTACCCAGGTGACATCAAGGGAGAGAAAATCCTTCAAAGCAAACGGGTAGCTAACAGCGAAAACAGTGTCCTCTTATGCTTTCCTGCTTTGTTCATGGATCAAAGAAAAACAACTGGTTACTTTACCAGTGACATCACAGTCCTCTGAGGATCAGAGCGACACGCGAGATTGTGGAGTAACTCATTAGCCTTTTCCTCAGCTTTTCCTGTACGAGCGTACAGATTTACAGTAGTTCATACTCATATCTTGTTGCAGTTACGCATCTTTATAATCCTAAAAAACATTGTAAGAGCCACTGAAAATAAAATGCAAATCTCTTTTAATTACACTCACAGTTGACCTGGTTAAGGATTCCAGGTGGCATTGTAATCTAAACCACCGGGACGACGGGGATCACTGATTATCAAGTCTCTCAGAGCGGCAGAGTTTGCGCCCTCGCTGACTGTTTAAACATTCAGGATCCTAAAACGAAACAATTCTAGTCGAATATTCTGCAGCACTTAATATATGTGACGGCGGTGAGGTTCTGTACACAGAGAGCTTAATATTTAAAACACCACATCCACAAGGCGCACACTACTCATCCTTTATTTAAATACTACAGCATTTTACTTTTTAATCTCTATGATCTTGTTCTTAAAACATTAAAGGCTTTACATGCGATTTTTCACACTTAAATGTAGAAATCAAGTATATCCTCTGACTGTCTACAATGGGTGTAGCACCCGAGTCCCACTGTCTGTGATGCTTTCAGAGTTTTCAGAGTCCTATCTTCAGTTTGTTTACATCGCCCGGACGGCCAGCCGACTCCTCCCCTCACGTATAAAAGTTGTTTAATTGAGGGACTAGAGAATAGAAGAATAACATACTGTACTCACTGTTTAAATTTACATGCAGTGTGAAGATACATACTTAAAGCCTTTAAGGTGCAAATTTACACTTATTACTTTGTAAAAAAATGTTTTCCACTGCATGCAAAAATGACCCAAATCCCATTTTTCTTGCTCGTGTGTGACTTATGTGATCTTTTGATGACAGTTTAAACAGTACAAGTCACATGCAATCTGTTTTTTACCAAGTCAGATTTGGTCTACAACAGCCAGGTCGGAATGCATAAAACTTTGAGTGACACTGATCATAGTTCTGCTCTAACAGGATGGGAGGGATCGAGGTCTTTGTTCTTCTGCAGGCTGTTTGAAATCATCAGTTCGGCCTATCATGAAAAGTCTCCCTTCACATTGTGCTGCATGTGATGTCTTTGTTGTTCTTTTGCACATGCAATCAGTTCACACAGGCCATATTTAAAAACTAATGTGAACAGCCAAATAAAAAAAATGAGCAAAAAGCTTGCAGTGTGAATGTAGACTGAATTTTGTGTTCCACTGAGCCAACATGTACCACTCAAGCACCCTTCGTCTCACCAGAAGATAACTTGTCTCCCCCTGCTCTGAAATGTCCAAATGTCTGCTGTGAAAAAGGCCTGTACTGTCATCTCATGTGGCATTTTGTTCTTCCGCTCCAATAGGCTGTGGATAAGGTTCTGCAGAGAGGTGTAAAATGATTTCAGGGTAGGGTCATAAATAAAGGGATGAGTCTGTAAATGATCTGCTTTCAGTGAAGAGAGACGACATGCATGTCGTCAAAGAAAGACACATCGACCATATGCATGTCCTCTAATGTAGTGTTAGTTTAAATCTGGAATAATCCCGATTAATCTGCACAGAATTGCCTTGAATTCTTCTCAAATTTGGAGGATGGTGGTCCAGTTTACGCTTGTTTATGCGCATCAGACTAAATGAGCACGCTTGCCAATAGAAGTCATTTTTAATGCCGTACAAGACGGTTTTGAATCCATCGCAGATGAAACTCCTGGCAGCCGAATTAGATTGAAGAAATGCAGATGTCATAGACATGTTTTTTCTTACTTTTGGATTCACATGACACATCTACAGGACTGACCTTCTGAATAATTTTACTTCATGACAATAGAAATTCTAGCTCTTTATATCCAGGTACAAATGTGAAATGGAGATAACCTTGCACTTTTTAAATACTGCAGAGAAAGCTTTTCAGCCTGCTGCTCACTATGCAGCCAAATCAGCAGCATAAACAATGTGCCCCAGTGGACCCTGTTATCACTGTGAGCGAGTTCAACACATGGATGTGCTGCTGCACATGTGGAAATAATAATAACAAGTCTTGTCTCGCACTCTTGTGCTCTGCTACTTCATTTCTCCTTCTCTTGTACATTATAACTTCCTTTTCCCGGGATCATTGTGATCTTTCTTTCTCCTCAGCTCTCTATCACCTCCAAAGCTCTGCGGTTTCTATTTCCAAACCCTTTCCCCTCTTTTTTTTTCCCTCTCGTTCTCGCATCCCTTTCCCCTACCATCTCTCTCTCATCTGTCTGACTTGAACACATGTATAATGCATGGTGAAGGGAAAGCTGTGAGGAGACCTGCCTGTGCCAATAAGAGCCAGTGTAAACAAGACAGTGAGGGGGAAAAGAATCCTTTCCAGCGCTGCAACACATTATGAAAAAAATCACCCAAATCCAACATTTCACCGCTGCAGAAGCATCTGAGCCGCTGGGGGATAACGGGGAAAATCTGGTATTACAGCCTAAATCAGCATAACAATTACAACAATTCACTTCCGTTTTAAGGATAAATGTCATAAAATATTCATGTATGTTTTCTACGACTTTCTGTTGTGTTAACTGAAAACCCCGATAGTTGACTGAAAGCTCACAGTTTGTGTGGAGCAGTATGTGCGTGGATGTGAAGCAATATGGTGTCTGCAGAAAGCAAAGAAGAAGAGGCGTTCAAACGAGCACACATGGCAGCATAAGTTCTCTCATGAATTACTGTTATTCTTGGGTGTGTGCGGAATGTGGGTCAATGATATGAAATGTTTATAAGGTACAAAATTAAAAATTCAGCGCTGATGGTCAGTTGATCTGCTCCCAGTCGTTTCATTCTTGTGCTCAGATGTTCATGTAGTATTTCACACCACAGAGCAGACCGACGTGAACATATTAGGATAGCAACATATGCCGTCTTTGCTTTAATTAGCTGATCGATGCAACAATCCAGCCCACACTGCGGCCATGCAGGCATTTAGAAATTAATCTGAGCTGCAGACTCAGAAACATTGTCTCTCTTCAGAAAACCAGAGCACGATTCAGACAATTAATAAAGAATGAATAATCAAAGATTATGACGGCGTTCAACAGGCCTCTTGCACCTTTGGGGCGGTTGTAATGACTCAGGCTCATCAAACATGTAACGTTTTGGACAGACTGGACTTTCACCTCAGGGGCTGCATCCTTTAAAGCAGTGGTTCTCAACTGGTGAGTCGGGACCCGGAGGTGGGTCGCTGAGCCATTTTCAATGGGTCGCAACTGTGAGCCTGGAATAAAACTTCTATGAAGCGCTTTTTAAACATGTTTGTTTTCTTCAGTTTCTTGCTTCTGCCACATGATTTGAACCAACTGAGGTCCAAACTGCACAATGTTTCAGTAAATAAATCTGACTCGAGTTGGTGGTGGGTCCCGAAGCTAGACGAGTTGTGAACTCACTGTTTTAAAGCGCATATTTCAAGAGCAATTTCGTCAACAAGGCTCTTTCATTTTCAAGGCTCCTTCAAATGCTGCTTTTTGTCCTTGGCTAAGAAGGATCCATTGGGTGCATTCTTCATGACTAAACCTAACCCATGATTCATTGGGCACCAATGACAGACTCTCAAGAGGCAGAAAGTGGTTTCAACTCAATCAAAAAGCTGGCAATACAGATGTTACAAAATTAAAAGGGTGAAAGAAAAGGGTGCTTGAAGCTTCAAATGTTCTTTAAAGTTAAAGTTAAGTGATGTTTAGTGATATTAGCTAGTTAGCAAGCTAGCTACCTGTTGCTAGATGGCAGCAGCACTTTATGATGCAAGGGTAAGGCGGCAGCGGTCTACATAGGCAGAAGGATGCATCCTTACTCATATTAAGGGCAGCCCCTGAGTATGCCAAGTCCTTAGAGCAAGGCCAAGATATGAAAAACCATTTAATGAACAAAGTCTTTCCAATACACTGACCAAGTTTGGGTGGATATTTTGGTCCTAGTTGGACCCATGTACATTTAAATGGCTGAACTGCTTTTGAGCTACAAGATGACTTTTGTAGGTTTTCAAATTAGACACATGACCACCAACATTCATACATGCATGTTAAACATACTACTGGGAATCCTATGTTGTTTTTCCTGCAACAGTCATATGCAAACCAATACATCATTTACCTTTCACTATTCTAATTTATGTGCAAAGTTTGGATACAGTCCAAGCACCTTCAGCCCCTAAAATGCAAAACATTTTGACAAAGAAAGAAAAATGTAAAGAAAGAAGAAGCCCTACTGACCCCCATTATAGAGCAGTCTAAGCAAAGCAGAGGTTTCTCATAATGTACCCACCTTATCATTGACGAGTAGCTCGATGGGGTTGTTCCCCCACTCGATGAGGACTATCTCGTTGGCCTGACCTGGCACGCCATAAGAGAACGGAGTTCCTATGCCCGGACTGGCGCTGGACTTGAGCCACATGCAGACGGTGAACGCGTACATTTCTGGGAGGCTCTTCTTGATGCGTCCGTACAGGTAGTTTGTACGAAGAGGGAGGGACACCTTGAAGTCCTCAGGTGACTTGAAGGCACTGTTACCTGTTGATAGATAAGGAGAACATAAAGTTAAAGCTTCACTGAGTTATGATTTGATCTAATCAAGAAAGTCTGTGTCCCAAAGTGCCTGAGGGAGATGAAAACAGAAATAAAATAAAGATCTTGGAAGATAGAAATTGCTGCTAGCAAAGTTAAAATGTTCTTCTGAAATCACATTTGAATTGTTTTCAGCTTTGAGCTTTTATATGAAGTCACTCTGTCATCCTGTCATTCTTCTGCAAGAGGGAACATCCAAGGTGCCATGATAAGACCAAAGACATAACAACACGAAACATGTTTATGCACCTATTGTGTAAACTGTCAAATAAATACATGAAGCAAACTTTCTAAATGTGCTGAAGAAGAACTGCAAATCAGGCATGTTTCCTTTAACTGCTGCCAAGAGAACAAGCAAGTCTCTTAAATGACTGAGAATGTTCTGTTCTTTTAAATAGGAGAGGAACCAATTCAAGGTGGCCCCTCCAACACCAACCGCGTGCTGGAGGTGATCAACTAGCATGGCATGACCAACAGTATCCAATGTGGCACTCAAGTCCAATGAAATCAGCACAGCACAGTATCCTGAATTAACTGTGAGGAGGAGATCATTATGGACTTTTAGTGAGGCTGATTCATTAGAGCTACCCTGAAACCTGACTGAAATGTATCCAGTATGTTATTCTGATGAAGGTAAGGCAAACGTTTGTACAGAACAACCTTTTCTGGTATTTTGGAAAGGAAAGGTAGTTTTGAAATGGATCGGTAATTATAAAGCGGTACATGGTCCAGGTTTGGTGTTTTTGCGGCACCAAGGCATGTTTTAAAATGTCGCCCTTTTAAGTTTAGATTCTGGTCCTGAATGGTTTGGGGTTTTTTTGGACCAGAGCTGGTAGGCGGTTTTAAGGCACCCCCACACAGCTGCTGTGGACGCCCCTCGGTTTCTCATGAAAACAGCAAACCAACAGATGTTGCAGCGATGGAAGTGGTCAAGAGAACTGTTTCAGATAATTACTTCTACCTGACCTAAAAAAGAGTCAGCAAAAATCAGAGAGGTTTGAAGACGGATGCAGAGCTGGCTAAACACTGAAGCTTCATTGTCCGAAAAATGGCAACCTGCATGCATGTCGACTCTAGGGAGGGGGCGAGGGGAGACAGCTCTATCTAATGTTTTGAATTTGGACTGCAGAACCCATTTTAAACACTTACATGTCAAAGTTACATAATGCTCCTTTTTCTAAAGTCATCTCATAGTGCAAAATATCTTTTGCAAAATTGAGAAAGTAGGGGCCTGAGTCCTGTCAAAGCATTTTTTATTATTCACAGCCCAAAATCCTCAGTGTCAATAGCAGAAAGGGGCTGCATTTCCTTTTGTCAACAATAATAGCAGAGGAGAAACTAATCCTTTTCGTTACATAGTTCACCTCAGACAGGGATTTTTACAGGGAACAATTTCCAGGTCTGAAGCAGCGGCTAATGCCAGGATACAACACCTCTCCATTCTCCTCATAATATTTCCTGAAATTAAAGCAAATAATAAGCATACAGACTCAACATTACACCGAGGGAAGTGGAAGTTACATGACAGCAACATTAAAATCACCAACAAGGAGTGTTCTGATTATTGAGGATGTGGGCACTGCGATGCAAAAAATGCTGTTAATGGACACAGGCCCTTAAATGAATGCTGCCGTTTCTATAAGGCTTTTTGAATGCCAAACTTCAAAATGGACAGGATTTGACTTTTATTGAAACAACACAATGAATCATGACTATAGCACGCTGACAGTTGCTCAAAGGACTTAAAAACCGATAAGCTCAGGCTGATGGCGATGTCAGTAGTTTTGCAGGTATTTCTATTTTAACCTATACTGTAAGACATATTACAACAAAGTGATTGTGCTTAATGAGAGGTCATTGGATATGACAGATCTTCCTCTGGGGAACATGGATGCCTGGAGCAATTTGCATGCAATCCATCCAATAGTTGAAAAGATTTTTAAAGGAATACTTGTTCATTTTGTTGGATGAAGAGATGGAGGATAACTAATGTAACCCGGTTATATTTCAGTCAGGACCAGAGTGACCGACTTGGGATCCCTGAAGCAACGCTGCTGGCATCGCTAAAAGCACAACACTCTTTTTGATTATTATTTAAATACTTTATGTCGTTAAGTTTCATACCGGTTCAGCTGTGGCTAAATGCACCCCATCTTGTAACTGTTGTAGCTTGTGGGTCAGTGGAAGAAAGCTTACAAGAGTTTTCATATTTTAAAGCTACTGAATACAGAGACAGCGTAAACATGGACGCTAAATTAAGCATGATCAAAAAAAAAAAAGGCAGACGGACAGAGAGAGGATAGCTCAATGAAAAATTTAAAGAGAAAAAGATCATAAAACAGGAAAAGGAGCTACACACACACACACACACACACATTTGCAGTGGGTTGGGACTAAAGAAACATTTTTAATGGGATTGAACCACAGTTGTATCTCTGTTGAGCAGAGTATTTAAATCTTACCTACTGTTAAAACCACAATATCCCTGATTTCACGGTGAAGTGGAGAGAGCGAGGAATGACACGCCCTAAAGGAGCCACAGGTTGGACTCGAACCCCGGGCTACCGCTTAAGGGACATAGGGCAGGACCTAACCACTAGGCCATCTGCGCCCCAAGAAAGAACTATTTTGGCAAAAGATGGATTTACTTATTTATTTGTATGAAAACTTGTGACTGACACCCATAACGATACAGCCAAACGTTACATGGCAAACTATTGTAAAAAACATCTGTAAGGACGAGCACCCTGCCTTCGGATTCAATCAGTCAATCTTTACTTATACAGCGCCAATTCATAACAAATGTTGTCTCAAGACACTTTACAAAAGGCAGATAAGACCTTGCTCTTTGTCATATTATATTAACTATAATAGAAAGTAATGAGTGTGACATAGTGCCATAAATGCCAGATGGCCGGGGCCTGATGCTGAAGTTACATAGTGCAGTTAACAGGAGCGGTCTGTGGACATGAGAGAGAGAGAGACACTATTCTCCCTGTTTGAATTTATTGTACTATTAAATGGATATTGAAGCTGCTTTTTTAAGGTGGAAATTGTTTACAACCTGGGCTAAGGTAGAAGCATGGAAAGAAAGGAAAGACCATGACGGGTCTCTCATAAAGAACATTCCTCTCCAACAGACACTCTGAGCTCCTCATTCATGCTGTTCTCCTACAAGCTTAATTCCTAACCTCTAAGGATTGTGAGGGTGCTGGACTCTATCCCAGCACTCTTTGTTGTAAGCCCCGAGCAGGAGTACAACCAGAACATGTTATTAAGTCATTGCTTTGCTTTCATTGGCAGAGAAAAGCCTCATATTTCATGCTGACAAAACTCCACCGCAAAAACTCCAGCCTTAGACATTGCTGGAGACTTGAATCATCACCCTTCTGGCACCGTGGTGACGTGAATCGAACTTAATAAAGCTGAAAAAGGTAGCACTTATTGTCGAGGCTTACATTGACTCATCTTTTCGTACATGTGGGTGCTGTTTGGCTAACCTTCTGTAATTTGAAGTAATTAACTTTGGTTAAACCTCCAGCAGCCACTGACTCAGCCGACTGAGGCTCCGGGGACGTGAGTCTGCAGGAAATGTCCAGTGAGCGATGAGATAATATTATTTTCCTTAAGGCAGAAATATTTTGATGTCCATCTTCAAAGTGATACCCCCGGAGTGAGGACATCTCTCTAATATTTATTAAAGTCATTAAGAATTCAGTGTTGCTTTCCAAGCCCTGTTTTTTTTTCTTCTCCAAAATAGGGAGCTGCTCCGAGAATGGCTTTAAGAAAACACTTTGCTGCGAGGTTTCCACTTGCATCATCAGAAATGTTCACAGGGATTGACTAATTAGTGTTAAATCTAGACGACAAAAAAAAGAGAAAGAAAAACAGTCCTGGATTATTTCTGGCCAACAATTTCCCAGCACCCGTTGTCTCACTTACTTTTCTCCAGCTCGGTGATCCTCTCCAGCAGGGAATTGAGAGTGTTCTCGGTGCGTTGGCGGTGGGCCGCTGTTTCGTTGTAGAGCTGGCTCTTCTCCTCCTCCAGCTCAGCCACCTTCCGGAGGAGCTGCGTCTCCAGCGCCCCCAGACGCTGCCGCAGCAGATCCCTCAGCTCCGGTGGCAGGGGGGCCAGGGCCGAGACACCCCCGGCTGACACATTGGTGGTGGGGAGACGCAGACTCTGCTGCTGGAAGGCGAGAACAGAGCAGAAAATAGAATAGAGATAGATAGAAAGATAGATAGATGGATGGATGGATAGATAGATAGATGGATGGATGGATGGTTGGATTGATGGATGGATGGATGGAGAGATAGATAGAAGAATGGATGGATGGATAGATAGGATGGATGGATGGATAGATATATATAGATAGATAGATAGAAGGATGGATGGATGGATGGATGGATAGAAGTATGATGGATGGATATAGATAGATAGATAGATAGAAGGATGGATGGATGGTTGGATTGATGGATGGATGGATGGAGAGATAGATAGAAGGATGGATGGATGGATGGATGGATAGATAGATAGAAGGATGGATGGATAGATAGATAGATGGATAAATGGATGGATGGATAGATAGATAGATAGAAGGATGGATGGATGGACGGATAGATAGAAGTATGATGGATGGATATAGATAGATAGATAGATAGAAGGATGGATGGATGGATGGATGGATAGATAGATAGAAGGATGGATGGATAGATAGATAGATGGATAAATGGATGGATGGATAGATAGATAGATAGATAAAAGGATGGATGGATGGACGGATAGATGGTTGGATTGATGGATGGATGGATAGATAGATAGATAGATAGAAGGATGGATGGATGGATGGATAGATATATAGATAGATAGATAGTTAGATAGATAGAGACATTTAATCCTGTTAATCCCGTACACTCAACCAGGCATTCAGTCTCCATAAAGACCCAGATTTGGTTTTGATACAACAATATCAAAATGAAGAACGTGTGACCCTGTGGGCCAATTTTTGATTGGTGACCTGCAAAGCACCCATGACTAGGCGGAATGTTTTAGGGGGGCGTCACCTGTGACATCACCTCGGGTTTCATTGAAGGCATGACTGAGGATGTTCTATTTATAAAACGGGCTCCAGCTGTACCTAGGTGGAGTTTTAACTGTGATGCAAACTGCCTCAACGTGGTCATTACTGAAGCCTTCAACCTCACTTTGGGTTTTTGACTTTTTGTGACACGTTCACAGAGTTGAATTCATATTTTCTGACAAAAGTCTGAAAAGCTCACTTAAAGACACTCTCTAGTAGTCATGGTGCTGAAGGCCGACGATGCAAGCAGCTGCAAGGTCCTGAATGTAATTGTTGAGTTGTGCAGATGGCTTTGATTAGTGAGAGAGGGTCTTGCTCCAGCGGGAGCCATATGCAACACCATTCATGCAATAATCGTTGTGTTAAGAAGATGCAGATCAATAGATGTGTGATTAAAATGCAACAGAATATGTACGCTCGCAGCTGCAGCATATCCTGATTTGATCAGGGTATTAAAGCGTCCAATCAAGGAGAGAGGGAGAGGGTGAATGGGGGGGAGAGGGAGGGGAGATATGGATGGATCAGCAATGCAGCATACAGTACACAGAAATAACCTTGAATTTAAATAAACATTATTGTGCTTAGTGATGGAGTCAGGGGCTGTCAGGAGGGGAGAAAATAACAACACAAGCCGATAAAGCCGTGGCTTACATCCACCTTTTAGAGCATGTAAAGCATCTCATTATAGGGTGACCTCGATATCAGCTGGGATCTCTGAAGCCGGCTTCAATTAATGCACACAGCAGAAGAAGAAGAAGTGAGGTCTCCTGGGCGTGAACAAAGAGCTGGTTTGAGATGCAAAAGAGCTCAGGTCAAGAGGAAAAAATAAGCAAACTACTTCACCCTGAAGTATTTGATTCAGTCTTACGGTTGTAGTTCTCTGATGAGGGTGAAGTCTGTATGAATTAGTTGAGCTGCTGTGAATAATGAGTCTCCTGACTGCAAATAAAACAACATGTGAAACACACAGTACTCATAAATTATTCAAGGTTGCATCTGAAATCCCCGAGCCACATGTATGATAACACCTTCGACATGTTTTTGTTGCTCATATCGTAATGATGATTCTTATTAGGAGGGTTACATCATTACACCCATATTCAATGGTTAATATCCCATTTGATGTGACATGCGCATTGACCCTTTGATCTCACGATTCCTCTGACAGGTTTCCTGCAGCGCTAGAAGACTATGATCAGCATGTTAAGCTATTTAGATGTTATGCATTAGGATGTGTTAGTGGAGGTATTTATTGCTGATTTAAAATGTTGGAGTGAACAAAAAGTGATTTATTGGGGATTTTACGCACAAGCGGTTTATTTGTGCCATCTTACCTCCAAGTTCTCCAGCCGACCCTTCAGACTCTGCATGGTCTTGCCCAGCTGGTCGATGGTCTCGCCGGGGTCCCGGGGCAGGTCCCCCATGGTGTTCTTGCCGAGCTCCTTCCGTCTAGAGCCCTGACCCCGGGACTTGCCCTGCGTCGACTCGTCTGCCGCCGCCTCGCAGCGCGCCAGCTTGGAGTTGAGCTCCTTGATGGTCCCCTGCTGGCTCACGATGGTCTCCTTCTGCTGCAGGATGGTCTCCCGGAGCTGGATGATCGTGTTCCGCAGCTCGTCCTCGACGGGGGTGCTACTCTGAACGCGGTTCCCGGTAGGATTGTATCCGCAGCCCGGCTCCGCGCCCGGAGGGATGGCGTTACAGACGAAACGGCTACCTGTAGCATCCTGGCTCCGCACCGCGCGTCCGCTGACCAGATACAAAAGTCCGACTAATAAAGTCAGCATCCCGACCGGTTACAAATAATCCAAGTTTTAAAGGAAAATAAATGCTCCCAAACTACCGACTGAACCTGTTAAGTGTCCTGTAAAATAATAAGATAAACTTATTTCGAAAACAACCCATAAACTGCAGCGACTGTGGACATCTTTAGCATCCAACGTGTCATAAAAAGACCAAACAAAGTAAGTTTATCTCGTGACTGTGCTTCAACAAAAGAAGAAAAGAATCTGCAGAAGAAGAATCATCAAATCACACATCCACTAACCACATGGTCGCTCCAGTTTGTAAAATACACCAATCAATCTAAACCATATACGCAGCAGGTGAAAACTGGGTCGAATGAAATCAGAATTTGTTATCTCCTCTTACTGGGTACAAAAACAAAAAGTTGTAAATGTTGTGATTAAAAATCCTCAGAAGATTGCAGAGACGTCAGTTTCCCCCCGTCCTGTGTCTCGGTTTGTTGGATTGTCAGTGCGCGGAGCTGAAAAGACACAGCGATGCTGCTCCAAAAGATTATGATGGGAAGTTGCGCACTGGCGCTTCCACTCATCATCCGTGCGCTCCGGTTATTCAGCTTCAGCCTACGTCATCACGGACTCCCAGCGGACAAGAGTTATGCTATGTACGTCCCATTGACTTTTTATGACCCGTTTAAATGGGTTAAAGAACGACCCATAATAACTTAGAACTCCAAATGCGTTTTCAATTGTTGCCTCTTTTTATATCCTGGTGTCTTCTTGAAAACTGTCTCTCTGACCCAAATGCACCAATACACCCGTAAATAAACATTATTCTGAGGAACATGCATTTGCTTGATGTTTCACTTTTTTTACCACATGAAGTGTGAATATATTTAGGTTTACTGTTTGTATGTCCTCCCAAAGGGCTCACCTGCTCTATAGTCAACATTTAAGATGAAGTAAATCTAACTGACATCCACAGTCTAAATGAGAAGTGTGATAGTGTGACAGGAAATAAAAACAATTTCCCTTTGTCTTCTCCTATTTACACACACTGCCCTTGCAGAGGCAGACACAAGATATCTGAGGGGCCCGGGCAAAAGGAAGTAAATGGGCACCTATTGCACACTTTTTGGCAAACAGACCTTTTCTTGTGTGTAAGGCAGCCTGCATGTGTTTTCTTCACTAAAAGGGCACCCGGAAAGGCACTTTATGATACATTTTTATTTACTGATAGGGTCTCTCAGAGGGAACTTTATCACAATTCCTCCTATGGAAAGCAGGAGAAAGTGTACCCCTGAAGTGGATCTAAAAATGTTATTTATAATGTTCTGCAACCTAGGGGTTACTTTATCACATCTTATCAACTCTAAGAGCACCCTGGATTACCCTTTCTCAGTTTTATCCATTGGGGCCCACAGGGGGGGCTCTTTTGAGGAAGCTTTACTCCTGAATGCTGAACTGAATATATTTCATGTTTTCATTGTCTGTGACTTTGGGCCTGTTTACCAAGACGTTAATTTGTTCAAGTTAAAGATAATTCACAGATAATACATATTTAAAGGAGCATTATGTTACTCTGACACCTAGCGTTTAAAACAGGTACTGCAGTCCAAATTCAAAATATTGAAGAGAACTGTCTCCTCCCGTCCCCTCCTCTGTAGACCGCACAGGTTGCCATGTTGTGGACAGTGAAGCGTCAGTGTTTAGCCAGCTCTGCATCGGTCTTAAAACCTTTCTACCAATTAACCTATCACCATTTTTCAAAAGCATCTCCAATATTTCCTCCTAGTTTTACCATGTTTCTACATTGTCGGGGTGTCCTAAACGGCCGTCAAAACAAATCCAGACCATTCAGGACCGGAATCTAAACTTAGAAGGAGGACATACTGGCTGCTGCATTGTTGTCAGAGAAGCCAGCACTTCATCATTTCACTCAGTAGATATCTCACAGATTGGACCTTTAACCTTCATTTGATGCTGAAAATAGAAAAGCGAGAACTAAATGGCACCAATGTCACCATGACCTTTTTATCCCAGGTTATTGCAACATAGCCATAGAGCCATTATTTTTCATCCTTTCTTTTTAATGTCTAGTTTTATTTTTTTTTAGACTGCTTTTGACTTCTTCTGTAAGTATTAGATTATATAAACAGTTTAATGTGAATGTGAGAGGCTAATACACCAAAGACGGGTGAGTCTATTCCAATTTCTCAAAGTATCAGCTGCAGTCAAAGTGGAAGCAGTCTATCCATCCAAAGTTGGAGGCACGATAAGGCAACATTTCCCTATGTGACAAAATATTTCTCATATTTAAAATCCAGCTCCTCTGTCACAAATCTTACACAGACATCCTATTTCATGTGGAAATGTCAAAACTTCCAAGGAAACACTCTTTTAGCCATCTCCTTTCAAAATAAGGCAAAGAGAGAAAACCAAATACTTGGGTGGAAAACAGAGATTTCCTTCTGTAGCCACATTCACAGAAAATCTATAGTGCTTCATTATTTGATGTTATTCTTCCTATATATTTAGAGGTCTACAGGCGAACGTTTGTCGGAGTCTGATGAAGCCGTTAGCTCTTCCACGGTGACAGACAGTGCAGATTATCACAGCAGCTTTTGTTTGGATCTCCCTTCTTGTTTTTCAAACTAAGACAGGGGAGCTGGCGTGTGTCAGGCACCTGCTAAGATTTGAAGAATATGAAAAGCTTCAAAGTCTGACGTCGAGCTCAGTGTGGCTGCTATCAAACCCTGTGACATCCTTTTCCAAAAAGGCCTCATCAATCTTTATTTCCTCAGGATGTCTTGCTTAAAGGCGGACGCGGCGGGACATTGATGGCTCAAGCGGGATGTTGTCTCTAAGACTGTGTGCAGGATTACCCCGGTGCCCGTCACAGCCTTCATCTCCTATCAGTCCTCAGGCCTGAGAGCTGAAATGTCAGCCGCCATTAATGCACACTCAGCGTACAATGGGCACACTGACAGGAAACGGCCGCTGAAGTCACCGCCAAGGAGGACGACTTTCTGACATGATGGGTCCCAAGGGTGTGAAGAGCCAGACAATCACCATGGTTACCTTATCTGATCCCCTTGCAACTCCCCCCCCCCCAAAGAGTGAGGAGCTGGTAGAGGTGAAGTGGGACTACTGAAGACTTGAGCGGAGATGACAACTTCCACTTCAAAGTTGATGGGGATAAAGTTTTTTTCCCTTTCATGTTGCAACATGTGAACGCCAGGGTGAAGCAACTTTTTCTTTTTTTTAAGCGCCTTCAGCGAGGGTCAAGAAATCAGCAGGGATTGAATTCCTCATCTGAAAACTCAGTTTCCCATCTAAATGATAACGTTTAAGAGCTCTGCTGTCTTTGAACTTTACAAGAGTCAATCAGTGTTTTTGGTCCATAAAAAACAGAGACACCAAGTTTACACTGATGTCTGGAAAAAACAGACTCTGGGATGCTGTAACACAATGCAATACAAATGTGGGGTTTGTTTACCCTGTTTCATAAGTGAAGCTATTCATGAAGCCCTGTGGTGTGTCTTTGGGGTGTTTATTTTAGTGGTCTGCGTTTCATTGTGAGTACATTATTAAACACTCATGTTATTAGATGGTGAATGGGCCACACTTATGCAATGAGCTGGGAAACAAAACCACCAACCTTCTGATAGAGAGACGACAAATTCAAACTATCTGCAACTGCTGCCTCACAGCTTTGGATGATGCTGTCAAAAACAGCAGAACCCACAACCTAGTGGTGATTTCACTCCGGTTTTCAATGCTCTCACAGAACAGACACAGGAATAGAAATGTGCATAAAACACGGTTAAAGGCTTTATATGTGATTCTGTGAGTCATGACTGTCTACAATGGGTGTAACACCCGAGTCCCACTGTCTGTGATGCTTTCAGAGTTTTCTGAGTCCTATCTTCACTTTGTTTACATCGCCGGGACGACGGCTGACTCCTCCCCTACTCCACGGCTGAAAAGTTGTTTAATTGAGGGACTAGAGAAAAGAAGAATAACATACTGTACTCACTGCTTAACTGTGTTTCTAGATCACGCTCATTTCAGGTAAATTTACATGCAGTGTGAAGATACGAGCATAATAAAGATCGCTAGCATTAGCATGTTAACACAACAATGCACGCAAGTTGTTTTGGTTTCATGCTGGTGCTCAAGGGCGACATCTGCTGGATAGAAAAAATAGCATATAAAGCCTTTAATCTCCCTGTCCTTATTATTTCGGTGTTCAGAGCTTGGAGGGGAGGAGTTTGAACTGTGCCTTACTTTGAGAAATGACCGGATTGAACCAAAACTTGCTCAGGTAATGTCACCAACAATTTAGTATATATATTTTTAAGCATGCTCCATTTAGTCTTGGAGATTCTAAACCCGAACAGTTATTCCTCTTCCACATTTGTGTATCCTGAAGATGTCCCCAAAGGACTTTAAGGTTCTTGGTGATGTAACAACACTGTCCTGGCCTTTGCGGCTCTCCTCACCAGCTGTTCCTGACAGTGACTAATCCATGCTGTACACACGCTCTCACTCACTCACTACTCCACTACTGTGGAGTCCTACCTGTTGAGTGAGATGCAGTAAGAATCAGACACTCCGGCGGTGCCACACTCACCCTGCATGGCATGGCATTTTGACTGATGATCACTCAGCTGTAGTCAGAGTGACTTGAATGCTGAGCATCTCTTCTTCTGTTCTCCTCCTCATCCCTACACGGTTACCACTTGACACTGGCTGCTCCATACCACTTTATCCATGTAAGCACGTGAAACATGCACCCTCCTACATCAAACATACTTATAACACCTAGGGGACTGTATATGCTGATGCTCACACACTAACTAACATCTTCCAGTGCTGTAGAAAAGATCTGCACTGGCAGCACGTCAACATTTTTGTTTCTCCTGAGTGGCCTCCATCTCATGCCTGAGTCCAGCAGCATGTGGATATTGAATCAATACTCTCCACAGCACTGGTCGATGTGGTATAGTGAGAGCACGCTCAATGGTGTTAGCTACCTCCAAGTCACTCACCGCTGTAACATTTGCCTCCTGGCTGTCGTACATCTTTTCTGCATGCTCCGAGCAGCTTTTAGAGCTGACTGGGGAAAAAAAGTTGTTCTCATTATCCCGTTAAGGTCACAAGCTCTTCCAAGCATCCTGATTTATGAGCAGTTCCTGGACGTGACAATGACTCACTATAATATAGCTATTAAGGTAGTAAAATGTCTCTGCGGCACGCCCATGATGCAATCATTACTTACATTACACCCAAAGAAGTATTACTTTTTAAAATATATCCTTATATACTTTTACACTCTGTTGTTGAGTCATGCACATAGACACACTGAAATACACACATGCAGAGGATCCTATAGACATGGACTAATGGAGAGATGTCAGAGTGAGGGATGCACATGAGAGAGCGCCCGAGCTGTTAGGGGTTGGGTGCCAGCTACCAGACCAACTTCCAGACTTGGTCTGCACCAGGACTTGAATTGGCGACCGTCTTTGTTC